AGACAGAAAGCAAGAAATCACCCCCCAGGAGGGATGGCCACGCTGCAATCCCCTCTCCTCCATTCTCCTCTCGGGATCTTGGGCACCCATGCCCATGCACCAGACTTGAACCGCGGTCGACGACCTACATGGGAGTCCAGTGACGTAGCCATTACACCATCTGCTGGTCCCGGCCAGCCCAATTCTTTAAAGATTTTTTTTTTAACCATGTCTCAGATTTTTCTCAACAGCATGGTGATGGGTTCAAGAATGAGCATGTGGGGGCCGGCAGGTAGCGGGGTGGTTAAGGCGCTGGACTCCCTCATGGATTACTAAAGTTTGGGTCCCACACCTGGCGGCTTGCTTTCTTACTTCCCCTCTCTCTCTTACTCTGTCCCTCTCTGGTCAAATTATAATACTTAAATAAATAAAGTTAAATAAAATAATTCACTTTTGAAAAATGAGCATGTGACCTGAACTAGGCAAAATTGAGTAGACTCGGACTTTTTCAGAATCAGTGGGAAGGACTGATTTTTATTTTTTATTTTTTTATTTTTTTTTACTTTTTGCTATGTGTATGTGAGCCCACCAGAGAGACTCGGACTTTTTCAGAATCAGTGGGAAGGACTGATTTTTATTTTTTATTTTTTTATTTTTTTTTTACTTTTTGCTAGAGTGTATGTGAGCCCAACAGAGAAAGACACAGAGAGACAGAGAGAGAGAGAGAGGCAGATCATCCGCCAGTGGGATCGCTATGCTGTAACCCCTTTGACTCCACTCTCCTCTCGGCTTTTGGGTACGCACGCGCATGTTCCCAGTGTGATTCTCAAACTGCCAGGTCTGGGACTTGAACCACAGTCATGTGGGAGACAGCACCGTAACCTCTACACCACCTGCTGGTCCCAGTTCATCTATTTTATCCACGATAGTGGGTACACTGTGTGTGTGTGCACAGTGAGAAAGGGAGACAGACGAACCCTGGACGAGGCGCTTGTCGTGCCTCGCTTCTCTGATCCCCTTCCCCGGCCCTTTGTCTTCTCAGACTCTCAAGTGCCCAAGCGCACAGCTGGTGTGTTTTCCAGCCTCCCTGAAGTCTCTGCCAAGTCAGCCGTATGGCTCCTGGCCCTGCAGGCCCGTATGCTGCAGACCGTGCTGCAGGGCTGGGCCAGAGCGGACTGAGCTGTTCCTGCCAAGCAGGGAAGGTGGGATCTGTGTTCACCAACTGCGTCTTCCCTGCCTGGAGGGTGGAGTCCACGTGAAGACTGAAACGGGAAGAGTCGGGCTGGGTGGTAAATGCTCTGCTGGGGTGCCCAGATACGTTTCGGCTGAGCCGACAGAACTACCCAGTGCAAATGTGGAGATTTAAAATAAAGCCATGATGGGACCAGTGCATGGCGTAATGGTTATATCACTGGACTCCCACATAGTTGACTGCAGTTCAAGTCTCGGACCCGGCTTAAAACTCACACTGGGTGTGCGTGTGTGTGTGTGTGTGTGTGTGTGTGTGGGCGCGCGCGGAGAATGGAGAGGGGAGTGCAATGTGGCCATCTCCCCAGGGGCCCCAGGGGGTAATTTCTTGCTGTCTCTCTGTCTTTTTCTATCTCTCCAGTGAGTGCATGCATCCTATAGCAAAAATCTCTCCAAAAAAATAATAAATTGGGTCCAGCAGATGGCATGAAGCCAGAGGCATTGGACACTCCCATGTGGCTGACCACGGTTCAAGTCCCAGACCTGGTGGCTTGCTTTCTCACTTTTCCTCTCTCTCTCTCTCTCTCTGTGTGTGTGTGTCTCTCTCTGGTCAAATTAAGATAAATGAATAAATAAATAAAATTAAATAATTCTTTTAAAAATAATAAATAAAATAAATCTATGAAATGAAGAGCACACATACACAGTGATTGCGAGAAGACCAGGTTTATTAAAGTGACCCTAATCTGACTGTGCACGTGTTTGAACAAGCCAATGAAATTCATGTGAAGAAAAAAGAATGTTAGATTAATCTGGTGTTTCAACCTTATTTTAATGACTATCCACAGTACTTTTACTGCTGCAGATAGGTGCATTTCTTAAAAAGAACAAAGAGAAAGGAGCACACAAAGCTGCTTCCTAGCTGAGAAGGTGGAGCAGAACCACCTGCGGAGTGGGGTTTAGTGTGAGTCTCTCCTAGTGTGCTGAGAATGTAAACTACCCGCATCTTAAGATTAGAAGATACTTGTATGGAAATAAGCATGCTGCATGGGACTTTGATATTAAGTCTCTCAGCTTTGGAGGCATTTGGGTCCTAACCTGGCCCTCTGCTGAGGCCTGCGGCGGCGGCAGATAACTCCCACTGAGGGCTGGGAAGGACCTGGAAGTAAATCCCCACAGGAGGGGGGCAGTAGCGTGGGTAGGGACAGCACAGCGACCGCGGGTTTGCACTGACTTCCAGCAGAGTGGCCGTGGAGCGTGGCACGCTCTGCTCAGGAAGCAGGAAGCTCTCAGCCCACATTTGCTCGCTTTTCAACCTCCTCTGGATTGCCCCGCAGCCTCAGCTTTGTTTCCAGCCTCTGCTTCCACTCTTCTCTGAGCCTGGAAAAGAAACAACACACGCGGATGGGGAATTCCTCTCCATTGCTGTTGGTTCAGGTAGCCGTCCGTCCTTCCTTGTTTTGAAGGGGGGTGTGTATCTGTCTGTTCAGATTTTAAAAGATCCACAGAGGACTCAAAATTTAAATGCACACACACACACACACACACAGTGAGACTGAATATGACTGAATAGACTTGTTTATATTCAAAAAATTACTTTTTTAAAAAAGAATTATTTATTTAATTTTATTTGTTGTTGTTATTTTTTACATTTTTTAAGAGAGATTTTTGCTATAGGGCATATGTGTTTGCCAGAGAGACAGAAAGTGAGACATCACCCCCATGGCCACACTGCAGTCCCTTCTCCTCCATTCTCCTCTTGGGATTTTGGGCATGCACGCACATGTACCTGGCTTGAGTTTTAAGCTGCCAAGTCCGGAACTTGGACTGTGGTCAACTATGTGGGAATCCAGTGATGTAACCACTATGCCATCTGCTGGCCCCAATGATTCTAATCTTAATCCTTTTAACTTTCTTAGAAAGTGCAATCTCAGGCCAGCCTGTGACCTGGTGGTTAAAGGGGCTGGATCCCACATGACTGCATGGTTCAAGTCCCAGATCCGGCAACTTGAAAAACGTACCTGGTATGTGGGCATGCCTGACCAAAATCCTGGAAGGAGGGAGAAATGGAAGAGAAGGAATTGTGACAGGACCGTGCCCCACGGGGGTGCTTTCTGGTTCTCCCTCCCTCTCTCTCTGATTCTGTTTCTCTCCAGTGAGTGCATGAGTCCTCTGGCAGATTAAAAAAGTAAAAGAAAATACAATATTTTTAAAGTCAGCAGG